GGCTGCTGGCAGCTCATCGAAGGGACTCAGCACGGCGCTGCCAGAGCCATCCCCCTCCGGCAGCCGGCAGTGGACCCTCTTGTTGCGGAGGCTCTTGCCCCGTGAGACAGGCTCCATCTTCCCCAGCACGTTTTCGGGTGTGAGTTGCTGCTTCACCATGACCGATGAGGTGGATTCAGCATCGGCCGCCTCCAGGTGGGATGTCTCCCCTCCACCATTCTCCTCCTCAGGCTGGATGTGTGGCAGGGAGGATTTGAACCAGCTTTTCACCTTGGTCTCTGTGCCCACAGCGGGGCCCAGCAGGATGACAGATTGGCCAGAGAGGCGTGGGGTGGGAGCTGAACTCTCCTTCTCCACGGTGCTGACGGTCTCCTCGGCAGACACAGGCACCTCGCTGGAGGACAGCACGGCCGGCATCTCGGGGGGCTTGGGTGGAGAGGCATCGTACGTCACTGACTTCTGCTCCGAGCCAGCCAGCTCACAGAGTGAGGAGTACTCCTCTGCCTCCAGGTCTGACTCCTTCAGATCCGGTGAGGAGATGATGGGGATCTCACTAAAGTCCCCAGCTGAGCAGCAGTGCCGGGTGTCCTGCAGCCACCTCTCGCTGTCTGCCTTTGTTGCTTCATCGTAGGTCAGTGTCTCCTCCTCCTCCTCCATCACCTGCTGGCCAAAGTCCTGGACCGGCTCACTCTTGGCTGGCTGCTCTCCATCGCACAGGTCCAAGCCGCAGTCGTTTTTTTTCTCCTTGCAGGAGCTCACCAGTTTGCTGGGGAACAAGCCCTTGGGGAGATCGGTGGCCTGGAGATCCTTCCACCGCAGGCAGGCCTCGCCCAGGCTCTCCTCCGGCCACTCGAAATGCTCCATGGCATTCTCAGACGCCACCGAGTTGGCGGTGGTGTTCGAGTAGCAGCTGTAGCCGGTGGCTCCCGCGCTGGACGTCGCTGCCGGGATGCTGGGCTTGGAGTTGAAGGCCAGTGGGGCAGTGTCCTTCAGCACATCCTTGCTTTCAGTGGCTGTGAACTCCACCTGGGGACCCTCGTACACCTCCTCACTAAAGTCTTTCCCTGTGCTGGCCCCTGAAGCTTTGTCCAGCTTGAGGGGCTCGGTGAGTGTGCTGGAGTCACCCTGGCTGGGCCAGGCACCTTTCACCATGGAGTCCAGGCTGGGCCGGTGGTTCTCCATCTGGAAAGGGGACTTGGTGGTCTCCTTGCCCAGCATGGGCAAGTTGGCCCAGGCTTTGTCTGCCTTCTCATTGATGGCATCCTGCAGGACGATGATCTCAGAAGCCAGCTCCTCCTGGGACAGGGCGCTGAGGAGCAGTCGGGGGCAGTCCCGTTCATTGCTCACATACTTGGTGAAGGTCTCCAGGGGCAGGGTGGCGTGGATACTCTGGAAAGAGTCATCTGATTTGGTGGACATGTCATCTGGGGAGGTCACAGAGCAGGTGGACACTGACTCAGGCTTTGCCTTGGAGTTGCTGTTGACGCGGGCAGGGCTGCGGTTCTGGTTGCAGTACAGGAAACTCCTCTCCAGCTGGTCCTCTGACCCACTGAGATAGTCAGTGTCCTGTGTCTCAGCGTGGACAGACTGGGGGGTGCTCAGTGGGTCAGACAGGGGGGTCCCCACCTGCTCTGCCGAGTAGGTGCTGCTCTCAGGACTGCAGTGCTGCCCCTTGAGCTGCTCGGGGGTCCTCGCTGGGGTCTTGATGCCCTTTTTCTGGGGCACAGCTGTTTTGGAGAGCAGCAGCTGCTGGACAGTGTTAGAAATGTTCTCCACCTGGGAGGTGAGTGCTGTCAGGCTCTGCAGGCTCAGGTCTGACAGCAGGTTTTCGGGCAGCTTCTCCTTCTGCAAGTTTTTGCAGTTCCCAGATTGAGTGTCGGGGCTCGTCCCGTCAGTGGGAGAAGGGTTCAGCAGCGGCATGAAATGGCTGTGGTCAGCAATGCCGGCCGGGAAGGCACCAGCACTCAGGGGCTGCTGGCTGTATTGGAAGTTCTCCAGGTTGGGCATCAGCGGGGAGGGAGTGGAGCTGTAGGATGGGGACCTGCCGACGGAGCGAGCCGGCGAGTGGCTGGCGCTGGGGCTGAAGGTCTGGTAGTACTGCTCCGGCGTCCGCAC